TCTGGGGGTGGAGCCAGATGTGACTATATTTTTCTGCCTCGCAGCTGGTTTGTTGGAGACATCCAAACCTACCCATTGCACACGCTTGATTTGGCGCAAAAAGGTGATGACCATACTCCTTTGGCAGCAAGTGTTAAGATCCTACTAACTAAAGAACGCAGGACTCAGGCTGGACCAGTTTTCGATCGTAGACGACTTCAGCAAGCCACTGCGGAAGAGGTTGCCAAGATTTTCGAAGGAGTGACTATCCCGTCTTGGGACACGGATATTGATGAACATATGACAGCACTGACGGAGCAAATCTGTCAACGTCTTCCAGAAGTTTTCCCGAAAGAAAGTAAAGGGCCCCGACGTGGCTATATTACTGATGAGAGCTGGGAGCTACGGAGACAGCGAATTCACCTTCGACATCAGCTCAGCCGAACCAAGTTGACGATTTCTACGCTTTCCCTAAGGGATGCATGGAACTGCCTGAGACACGGTTTTCGCTCAACCGATGTACTTGCCATAGCTTTTCGGTCCTTTGTTAAAGCAGTTCAGCAGAAAACTGCTATCGCAGAGTGCACGAAACAACTTCAAGCTAGTTTGAGGCATGATCGGGTACGATCCCTTGAAAGGCTGGCGGAGCAGTCGCATGACATGAATCCTCGAGATTTTATGGGCTCGCTTCGTGCGCTAGGAGTCGCCAATGCAAAAAAACCAACGGCTATCCAGCCAATGCCATTGCTGAAGAATGACCAAGGTGAGCCGCTAGATACAGTGGAGAAAGTACGTGACTGCTGGCGAGAGTACTTTCGAGAACAAGAAGATGGAGTGGCCAGTGATTTTCGTTCTCTCTTCAAGGAAGCCGATGCGGTAGGAGATCGTCAAGAGTCCCTTCCTGAGTGGGGAGATCTCCCTACCATCTTCCAAATTGAGCAGTTTTTTCGCAGAACTTCAAAAGGGAAAGCTTTTTTCGGTGACGGCATCCCTGGTGAGCTCCTTGCACAAGCGCCCAAACAGATGGCACAACTGCTGTTCACCTGTTTGTGCAAGGAAATCGCTTATGTGAGAGAACCTCTTGCACACAAAGGGGGGTATCTGATCCCTGCTTTCAAAAAGGGAGACCCCAGTGTTCCCAGCAATTATAGGTCTCTCTTTGTGAGTAGCGTGATTGGAAAAGCGATCCATGCGCTCTATCGCCAGGAGTTAGCTGAAGTTTTCGGTGCCAATCGCTTGCCTTTCCAGATAGGAGGGTTGCGTGGACATGGGATTACGCAGGCGGCACATGCGCTGCAGGCTTTCCAGAGGCAAGCAATTCAGCGGAAGCATTCCGTCTGTTTCCTCTTTCTGGATGTTGCCAATGCCTTTTATCGTCTTGCACGACAACATATCATCCATGGCACAGGAGATGCAAGAGATCCTCAACAATTGTTCCAGGCATTAGGATTGCCCGAGCAAGCGTTTGCTGAGTTCGAGAGACTTGTGAAGGCACCAGGTGCCCTGGAGATGGCTGAAGCACCGGAATTTTTGAAACGACTCTTTCGTGAGTTCTATCACCAAACCTGGTTTACGCTGCGGAATGATGACCAAGTAATTGAGACTCGCCGCGGCAGCAGGCCTGGGGACAGTTTTGCTGACCTTTGCTTCTCCTTTGCCTTGACGAAAGTCTTGCAACCGGTCATGGAAGCAATTCGACAACGATTTCCAGAGCTTGGACTTTCCTGGGACGGATGCAACTCGCCAGTCCGCAGCCAGCAGCCCCTGCATCGATTGGATGTACTGATGCCCATCTGGGCAGATGACCTTGCAGTGGCACTGAGCGACCCTCATCCGACCATGCTACTGGAGAAGGCGAGAGAGGTCACTGGTATGATCCTGGATGGAGTGCTTTCTGCAGGCCTAGTGCCGAACCTACGGCCTGGCAAGACAGAGCTGCTGATTGACTTCCGGGGAAAGGGAGCCCAAGCCATCCGAAGAGAACTCTACCATGCTGAATACTTGTTGAAAATCCCCTCTAATATTGAGGATTATCAACTGCGGACTGTGGGTGCGTACAAGCACCTTGGTACCTGGCTCCAGAGTGGAGCGGGAATTGCCAAAGACTTGGCCATGAAGTTCGCGGTTGCACATGACCTTGTGACAAAATATCGGGCTACCATTTTTGCTAACAGAAAGATGCCACTTGAAAAGAAGAGGCAACTCTTTGAAATGATGATCATGAGTACGATCATCTTCAATGCTGCGGTTTGGTGTCCCCGTAATAAGAGGCAAGCTGCACAGACCGAAGCGGCCTTCATGAGGTTGTACAAGCGTGTCACTGCACTACATTTCGGACAGCAAGCAGTCCAATGGTCTCAGACTAGGATCCTGAATGCTTTTGGCCTGCCTGATCCGGCGTTTACCATCCGAAGATCACGACTTAGATATCTTCTGCAACTAGCACAAGTTGGCCAGCCGCACACATGGGCTCTTCTGCAGACTGATGATCTATGGAAGCAACAAGTCAACGAAGATTTATCCTGCCTGAATGACTATTGTCCTGAAGATGAAGTGCCTTTTCCTATTGAGGAATACTGGAACCAGCTGATCGCCTTCATGTTGGAGTCGCCGGGTCGCTGGAAGAAGACCCTCAAAAAAATGATACATCGGCACATTTCAATTCGGCAGATTGATTGTGAATGGAATGCATGGCATTCTGCTGTTATGCAGGACGTTCTCGAATCAGGATTTGGTCATCGACCACAACGGGTTGTTGAAGCACAGCAGCACTACTGCCTGGCATGTCGTCAAACTTTTGTACGAAGAAGTGCATTGACAGTCCACGCTTTTAAAAAGCACGGGAGAGTCAACCAAGTTCGCGATTTTGTCCAGGGCACTCAGTGCGAGAGATGCTTACGAGTTTATGACAGGTACACTGACCTTGTTAATCATGTCAAACGCTCCACAGCTTGCTTTGATTTTTACAAAGGAAGAAGATGGCATGTGGCCAGGCAACCAGGAGTCAACAGCCGACAGGAGAATCGGAACCGTAGGGACCTCCGAGCACCTGTGCTGCAAGCTGAAGGTCCTCAATGTGCACCGCCACCTCCTTTTGAGGAAGAAGCACAAGTTGAGCAGTTAGAGCTCTGGCAAGCATGGGATACAGCCTCCTCCGAGCTGAGTGATCCTGACCAATGGCTAGATAGACTAAGGACTGCCACCCTGACTACATGGCTATACCACGAAGAAATCCTGCAATGTTTTTCTGCGTGGTGGGAGCGATGGTGCCATGACAATCAAACATGCCGATTATCTGACCTGGTTATCCATGGACGGTTTACAAGCCTCGCTTCCGCTGCTTGGTTTCTTCATGGTGATCTCAAGGAAAGATATATTCAAGAAGACCCTCTTCAGTTTTTTGAGCGTGAGGCTTGGATCTTTAACGATGTGCTCTGGAGTCCTCCTAAAGCGATCAAGTACTTTCCACGAGTCGTTGCCCATCTCTTTTCTGGTGAACGCAGAAAAGGGGATGTCCAGGCCTTTCTTGAAGCTGCTGGATTTGAAGCCCTTTCAATTGATGTTGTGTTCGACCTTGAATGGGGGAATCTCCTCCGACCTGAAACACTAGCACTCTTTCAGAGGTCGCTCAGAGAACGGACGCTCCTTGGTTTTATCGCAGGTCCTCCATGCGAAACTTGGAGCAGGGCCAGGGCGGTGGTGTTAGCAGGTAGGTCAAACGGACCTAGGGTAGTTAGATCTAGAGACAGACTTCAAGGGATTAAAAGTTTGAACCGCAAAGAGGCTCAGCAAGTATCAATTGGCAACCAGCTCCTCGGTGTCACGCTGGTGCTGGTTTGGTCTGCCATTGTTCACGGGGCCACGGCTGTGGTCGAGCATCCGGCACAGCCGGAAGAGGAGACACTGCCATCGATTTGGCATCTACCCGTGATTGCTTTTTTTCTCCGATTCCAATGCTGTAAGAAAATCCGAATCGAGCAAGGGAGATTTGGAGGACTTTCCCCCAAGCCAACGGACCTTCTTGTTGTGCATGGCATCGATGACGTAGCTGGCTTCTTTGTGCAACATAGAACGACACCTCTCCCTCAGACTTCCAGAATTGGGAAGGATGAGGACGGTAGCTGGCGCACCAGTGTTTTGAAGCGCTATCCACCGGACCTTTGCAAGGCCCTGGCGCTTCTTTTCAACCTCAGCCAACCTGAGGAAGAGGTTTCAGAAGAAATCCCGAGTTGGTTTGCTGCGGCAGTCGACAAGCTGAAAGCGCATTTCAGCGAGGAGGCCGTACAGGGGCCCGACTACTGTCCGCGCGCCGCTCGTGGTGATACTTTTAATTAATGCATGCGATGTCACAAGCACCGCTTACGGCAATGCGAAATGGAAAAAAAAATGAAGTGGTTTTGGATGGTCCAACGAAGTGGTTGGACGTTTTTTTTTTGAAATGCAGTTTCCTGTTCCCGGGAAGGAGGTGTGATTGGAGAAGATCTCAGGTTTGGGGTCGGAGGCGTTGGAAGCCTTTGGCATCTCATCGTGCATCCGGACTGATTCCGTCTCCTTTTGGTGATTACCCCCCTGCAGATTAACATGGAACCTGAGAATCACCCGTGGAAGACGATTTTCCTCTACAACCCAGCATGTTAATCTGCAAGTATGCTGTTGTGCTATCAGATGCTACGACTCATGCAGCAAAACACACGTTCGAACGCTACACCATTTAACAACAAGGATCGCTCACCTCACCCCGCAACCAGAAGAATCCGGGCTCCATGGTCTCGTTGCGCTAAACCCCGAGGTGCTGAACGTGTGTTTTGCTCTGATTCTTGAACCGCTCTTCTTTTGCTGCCTGGTGCGACGAAAGTAGATGACAGTAATCATGGAAGCTGGCCAGGACCCCCTTGTAGAGGAAAAAGGATCCTTCCAGGGGCCTACCTTCCACTTCCATGATTGTTTCAGGGAGTGTAGCCCCCAAGCCACAGTCCTTTCCATCCAGCCACGAGTCGCACGAGTTACTCGTCTTCTTCTAGGATTCTTGAACTTGGAGATGGGGGAGGCGATCCCTTCCGTGTACTGGTGGCCCAACATGAAGATCAATGTGCACGTGGCTCGCCCAAGCACATCATCATGGCAAAAGAGCACCTTTTTTTTGCGGAGATGTGCGGATGCAGATGGATGGATTGGATGGGATGGGATGGAGTGCTGGATGGATAGAGTGATCATCCAAGTTCAATTCATTGAGTTCTGAGGTAACTTTCAGTAAATTGCGCTTGATTGTCGTGTTTTTGACGACGTTCAATCATTTTCATTGATCAGGTATCATCAGAAAGTCCCAGAAATTCCGACATTCATTGGCAACACAAATGCCTTTTCTGGGTGTTCCTCATTCATTTGACCAATCCCTTTGCTCCTATGCTTGTTAGCCCTGCCCACTTGCCAAGTCTTCCCAACGTAGAGCTCGAAGATGTCCACCTCCCACACCTGCTTCAATGCTTCACTTGCAACCCCTTTTTGCAAGTGATGTGTCTTGAAATTTCGGTGCAAATCCTTAAATCAATCAAATACAACTCCCAAATGGCCACAGGGTCCCCCAGACCGAACCCAACCAGACTGGACCCAAAAGTACCCCAAACCCACGGAATCCGGGGTCCCGGCCCTGCGGTGTGTTCGTTGCCCAGCCAAACCTCTGAGTCGGCCGAATCCGAGGCGATGAAGACCAACCTCCCCAGCAACACCGCGGTGCGCTCCTTTGGAAGTCCTCAAGGCGACGACGACCGGGACGAAACGCCGGAACGCAGGGAGAGAGGCACCGTGGAGGTCTGAGAGGTCGGATGTGGGGTGGAGAAGAAGCCAGACTGAGTGGAGATGTGTTTGTGGGTGTGTTTTTCAGGTATGGTTAGGTATGGTGAAGTGGTGCTATGATGTGCTATGTAGTTCCTTTGGAAGCGTTTTACTTTTTTGTGAACATGATTCTTTAACGGGGATTTTCCGGAGGCCTGGCTGACTGGTGGAGGGTCAATTTCAGAAGGTTTGGATCCCTTCAGCTCTTTATACAATGAAAAAACATATACACACATCATATACACATAGATTGGGGAAGAATTGGAACAGATGTGATGACGTCGGATGAAGGCCGCCATTTGCTTCTGAGGCAACTTCGTGTGCGAGGCCATCATTGAGGACGTTGCTGGCAGGCGATGACCGGAGTTGAGTGAGTGAAGACATGTTCCAACAAAGATCCAACGACAAGGGGTCACATTCGACGGGGTGGTGTGGCTCGTCCCATCCAGTGAGTGGATATAATGGGCACCCCGACTACCTCCAAGTTCGGCACCCTTTTGTGGCTCCTGGGAATTTGACCAGCAGTTCTATGTCGGGAGACCGGACGAACGGAGGATAGTGGTGCCCGGTGGTGCCAATTTGACACATCCACTGGATGGGACGAGCCACACCAACCCCTCTTGTGACTCTTGGGACTTATGTCTGGCCTCAGACACGCATAATAAGTACCTTGATACATGAATGCATGATACATGCCATCTTATTCATCTATCTGATTCATCTGGTGTCTACCACTGACAGCCTGGGATGGTTGCTCTTCTAAAGACATGCTTAGCATGTTCTGAAGAGACCAAACAGGTGGTGAACACACTCCACTAACCCATATCTTTCAGGGAGTGTATGGCAAACCAATGATTTACCCTATATCATTCACCATTCATTCACCCCTTTTCAGCACCCCAGTGGATGTATACCAGTCCCATTCAGTCCCTTTTGGGTCGTGTCTTGTGATTTCACCCGCCAAGACACGTCGGTCCGAGCACGGTCCGACGTGATCCAAGTCGGATGCCCAACACGTCGTCGCCGTCCTTCAGGTTGGGAAAGCCTGTGGAGGAAATTCGAGAGATCAATATGTTTCTGGGCGATTTGGAGACCGTGTTTTTCGTGGATTTTCCGTGACCATTCGCGACTTTTGATTCACAAGTGAGGGTCTTCACACGTGAAGGGACGACTCTTCGTATGTTCGGTTTGCGCCAGCAAGTTGCCGCAAAACATCCCTGGTGGTGTCCCTATGCAGCACTTTCTTTTGAGAAAGGACTTAATGACTTTCAATACGTCTATACTTTTTTAGTAAGATTCCCTAAATCTGAAATAATTGGACATGACAGAGTCTGACAGGGCGTGTTCTGAAGAGAAGCGTGGTGTTTTTGAAATCCTGTCTCATCCAGTCATCACAATGAGATGTACACTTTTTAGTGTTTTGTGTCTCTCAGGGCATTTATGCAGAAATATGCAGAACTATATATAGCTTGCATCTACATTTCTCTACCACGAAGGACACATCACACATCACACTGTGCTGCGCTGTGCTTCGAACGTGGAGCGGCCCCAACAACGAAGGACCCCGTCGGGCCGTCGGGTCCGTGACCAAAAGGTGCACCCGAGAGAATGCGGTGACGCCTTGGGGGCAGCCCATGGAGTACTACAACGCGCCTGGGAAGCGACGCCACGCTTCGACGCGACGCGAGGGACCCGACGCGCAGGCCGCGTGCATGGTGGGTGCTTTTTCTTGGAAGCCCGGAACAGCTTGGATTGCCCGGATTGGGTTAAGCCAGGGTTTTGGAAGGTTGGTACAGCTTCGTATTTGTGTGTTCGGTGCGTTGGTGCGTCGGAACACTCTTGACCTCCTTTTGAATCATTACACGGAATGAAAAAGATGGTGAGGAGCTTGTTATTAATGTATACATATATATATATATACTTGTTTAATGATATATTATGTGTGTATATATATAAGAAAATCACATGAAAACATAATCATCATAAAACAGTAATAACAATAATATATTATATATACACATGTGTTGTTTTCCATTTTGGTAAGGTGGTTGTCATGCGTTTGATTGAACCTCCCAAGTGTATGGATCCTCTCCAGGGCTTTTGATGTTTGATGTTTTGGTCACATGTCATAGGATGTCGAGCCATTCGGTGATAAACGCCAGATGATAGTGATGACCCTACGTAGTACAATGGTGAGGCTCGCCCCCTTTCTTTGACTGGATGCCTTGAAAAAGACTCATATCGCTTTGAAGATGAAGGACACCTTGTTTGTCTTCCACTAGTGATTACCCTCGTAATCCAGAAGTGGGCACAAGCCTGCCAGCATCGCATGCTTGATTGGCATCATCAGCGACCAAGGCAGACATGCTTTGGAAGAAGCTGAAGCAGGACGTGAGGGGAGACGCGAGACTTGTGATGTCTCGACTTGTGGTGTCTAGACGTGAGCCTAAACCATCCGAAGATCTAAGTCGCGTGGCCAGCAGGGAAGAGTCGATGCGATGAAGATGACCTCCAGGGTGCTTTAGGGTGCACCTTGGTCATCTATGGAATACCGTATTATATTCAGGTACGTATATCGCGACAACCACCGCACCAGTGGTTCTCAGAGAGAGGCTTAAAAAGGGAGTATCTGTATATATAATCAGACAGACTTTTAAGGACCCTTTGATACATTGTTTAGTTATGTCTTTACTTGCATTTTGCAAGCGTTTGTGATGTCTCTGCTGAAGCTTCTACCCTGCCTGCAAGGTCAAGAACCCTAAGAGCCAACTAATGGCCCCCTTCTTCCCAATACGGCTCCACCGTGCTATTCCCAAGCTCCACTGCACACCGTTGCAGGCCCTGCCGGTTATCCTCGCCAGTTCTCGCCTCGCACAGGATGCTTCCTTTGTGGAGCGCGAGAAGCAGTGCGAGGCCTTCAATGCCCAGCACCGTTGGCGCAAGCGCGGCATCAGCCGCTGAGGCGGCGTTTGGAGGATTGGCGTGAAACCCAGGGTGGCCTTCACGGTATATACCTCACCGTGTTCAAAGCCGGGTGTGGGGGAAAGATCGGATTAAATTTCTATTATCAAAGAAAGGGTATGGGCTAAAATGGATAAAGGTTGCAGTGTACGTGTATGTTTTCACAGTGAAACAGCTAGTGGCTAACTATGCACCATGCGAGGCTTGCTCACACAAATAGGTGCACGTGACACCGAATAGAATTGTCTAATAACTAGATGACCAGTCCAACGAAAGAGACCCGTGCCTCCTGGTCACTTCTTTTTACGAATCAGATCAACAGGTTGGTGCTTAGGCAGTGGGGAATGAGAAACGTTTAGCTTCCACTCTTGAGTCTGGATGCCTTATGAGTCGTGCCAGTCAGCCAAACCTGCCCACATGCCTTCCAAGTACCTCATGACCTAGGCGCAGTGCCCTTGGCCTACGGCCACTGCTATGCCTATGCCGCCGGCACCGGAGCGTTGGTGAACATTCATGGCAACTGGGGCCTGAGAGGGGAGCTGGGGGGGAGATCTGCAGACCTTGCCTGAGAAGGGAGCCCTGCATGGGTTGGGGAAGGTTGGAGGCTTGGAGGCTTGGAGATGTGTTGGGATCTCATGGGTCTCACACCAGCGCAGTTGGTGTGAAACCGCTTGGTGAGGCCCCTGTTTCGGAGTGTGAATGGAATGTGCAACAATCATGGTTGCAACGTGTCGATGTTGCTAAGAATCCATCTCTGAGAACGAGCTTTGGAGAAAGACATGGGTGCCAACCACTTGGTTGTGAGCCAAAGTTTGCCAAGATCACAAGTAAAAAATAATGAGCAACTGAAGCCAGAACAATATGGAAGTGATAGCCACTTTCAGACAGATGTTCTGGCTAGAGCTGCCAGGTCAAAGTCGACTCTTTTGTTTCTCTTCCTACACCTCCAAGTGGAGGCTGAACCACCAATTTGCAGGAATGGCGCTAAGTGCACTCGGCCGTAGCTGCAGCAAGAGAGACAAATCGATGTCGACAGACAAGCTTCGAACGCTTGGACACTTCCGAAGACTTGCTGGGATGGGTTTAATTTAAGTTTAAGTTTGGTTTTTGTCCTATGATACCTGTAACATTTGTAACCAGTAAACAATTATCACTATTTTAGAGAAAGGCCTGGGAACGAACCGTCATCATCCACTGGGCTTTGCTAATAGGATAGACTTGGTCGGTTTAAGTTTAAAGAGGACTGCTCAAACAATCTCTGCAAGCCAACTCTCGCCTTGGGGATCTTCGGATCTCAAGGGGGCTCTTTGGACCAGCGGGATGCTCCCCCTCCTCCCTCGTTGCGCAGCAGCTCCCACAAGGCGACGACGGCTCAGTGACGGTGCATCACGGCGGCTGCGAGATCGGACAAGGCACCAGCGTAGCAGAGGTAAGTCGAGAACATCTTCATGCAAGGTTCACCCAAAAAATTCAATGACCTTCACCGGAGAGGTTTGGAATGGAAGACTTTCAAACGAGATTTAACATCTCGATAAGATACTTAAAATGCAAAACAATGCACACAAATCCAAAATAATGCACAAAAATGAGAAAACATGAACATAAATGAAAAAACATGACATGACCAAAGCTTTCACTCGTAAGAGTTTGTGAAAACCCATTGAGCACAAATTGGCCTAGCATGTGACTAAAACGGGGTTGCACGGATGAAATCATAATCTCAACGATGAACAGATTTTGAACACTTGGTGAACTTATTGTTTAAAGTTTTGAGAAAGTTAAGCCAATCAAATATGTCTTTACATGTTTTCCACCATGGTGCACCACTTCAGTCAGACATTGATCGTATAGATGACTTTGTTACACCATTCATCTGCGGCATCATAGGACCACCCATCTGCGGCACCGTTGGTGGCATCATCCCTCTAGGCGCCCCACGAGCCTTCTTCTGTGCCCGGCTCACTGCATTGACCACCGAGAAGAAAGAATAATAGAATAATAGAAAAAAGGAAAAGGGAACGATGGGACAGAAAACAATAATAGGACAAGAATCAGAAAAGGAAAGGGAAAATCATAGTAGCAATTAGCTGAAAAGTTCTCAAAAAATATCAAACAATCTCGAAACATCTCAAAAAATCTCGAGGAGTTAAAAGGGAAACTCATTTTACCAAGTCTAAAAATCTCAAAAAATCTCGAAATATCTCGAAAAATATCTAAAAAAACTCGAAACATGAGAACATATGCAAAAATGTGCAACAAAATAATTTAAGGGCTGCCGCCCCTGCCGCCGACCCCGGAAATGTAAACAGTCTACGTGGAAGCAAACCCCGATCCGATTGCAGTCTACGTGGGAATGACACGTTGCCGGACCCGGGACAAACTTATGATCTATCGCCCTTTTCCTTTGGCACCTTTACAAGCTGGGCTGCCATTGGGACGGCAGCTGCTGCTGGACATCTGGAAACAAGAACGAATTGACTGGGATGCCCTGCGCAAGAAATATCTCGATGAGAGACCATGCATGGAGTGCAACGAAAGCAAACGGAAAGACGGTTTCACCAAGGGCCAGTGGCGCCACGACAGCTATCGTGTCTGCAAAGAGTGCGCAGCGCGCAAACGTGACGCAGGGACACCGTATCGTTGCAGCCAATGTGGTGTCTGGCACGCCACCAGCCACTTTCCGTCAAAGCATCTGAATCCACGCTGGAGTTCGTACCGCGTCTGTTTCTCGTGCGAAGCCAAAAAGCAATGTCTCGTGTGCCACAAAAGTCTCACCAGAGAGTGTTTCAGCGCTGCTGCGTGGAAATGTAAACAGGACCGCCGAAAGTGCCTCACCTGTCAACGCAAAACCCGTGGCTTTTGGACTTGTGCCGGCTGTCAGCAACGAAAACAACGAGACCAATACCGTACCTTCCTGCGCCGGCGTCCATCAGGAGAGGATGGCCACCAGATGTGTGACGCATGTTGCGCAAGACAGGCGCAGCAGCGCAAACGCCAGCGTATCGCGTCTAAGTGCAACGCGCGTGTAGCGTCGCTGCGCCAACGAATCCACCGAGAACACATCCTGCAAGAAATCAAAGACCTCATCGCCAGGGAAGTCCACGCACGCAAACGTCTGGCTCAGACGACCCCCGGCGCACAGGAAACCACCGCCGCAAAGCGGCCCAAACAAAGCGCAGGTGCTGTGGCACCACACGCGAAACCAAACATTTCTATCGAGCCACCGCAGAGCACAGTCCCGCACAGTAATCATCAAACACAACGCCAAACCACGACAGAGAATCTACCCAAACCACAATCCAAAAAAGGAAAACCCACCACGACAAGCGCGCAGCCACACGCGCCAACACATGGCCGCGCATTGGATCCGGAGGTGCCGGGGGCAAATCGTGGACGTGAAGTCAAAGACAAGCAAAAGCAGGAGTACACATGCCCGCATTGTGGGGGCCTGGTCGTAAGCAATGTCAGGACGGGACAAATCGATCACCGGACAGTGGCCACCGGTTTTGCGTCAGGGATGGAACAGTCCAAGAAAAGAAAACGCATGAGTACACATGCCCGCATTGTGGGGGTCTGGTCGCAAGCAATGTTACGACGGGACAAATTGATCACCGGACAGTGTGCGGCAACCGGTTTTG